AATGCCAAATAAGTATAACTTCTTACGCGCGTACATAAGTACACGCACCCTTTTTTTTTAAATTCTTTATTTAAATACGAATAAAAAAAGTCCTTTCACGATAAAGTTACTATTTTTAGAGATATGAATTTTTAAAGGTTCGAAAAATCTCAAATTTGTGTACTTTTTACCCATGAAAAATATATTAAACAAATAAATAAAATATAAATAATATTTTTTTTAATTCTTTATACAATAGTTAATAATATTCTTGATAGAGACTTTTAATTTTTTTATTGTTTATACCTGTTTTATAATTGTTAATTTCACGCGCTCACAAGTATGCGCCGCTTACCTTTAAGTATCGCCGTCTCTCTCTGAAGTAAGAAGTTAATAGTTAATAATTTTTAAGATAAATGATAAATAATGATTCAGGACACAGAGAGGCCGATGCAGCGCATGAGTCAACCATAAAAATTTACGACACTTAGGTCAACTCTTAATTTTCATAGCACATTCATAGACGTAACATTACGTCTATGAGCACATTCCATTAAGGGTCGCCGCACACGGGCCACACGCGACAGCCACAATCGCCGCCACGAGAAGCTAGAAGCGGCTACAAAGGTAGCTGAAGCGCGCGACAGCCACTTGTGGCCGGTGGTCGACACTTGCGGTCGGTGGCTGCTACTTTTTTTTAACCCTTGCGTGCAGTATCATAATGGACTCGGACGAAGAAGGTTTAATTGCGCTACTTTTGATAAAAAGACGTCGTCGTAGAAGACGAAACCGTAGTTATTGGATACATCCAATTTTAACGAATGTACACAAATGCAACGAATTCATTGAAATTCATCGAATGAAAAATTCCCAGGCCTTCACTTTTTCTCCTCTACGAGTATTACTATAACTATCACTTTTTGAATCCCAAATCGCAGGACGGGTTTGTATCTCTGATATAAATAATTCTATATCCATATTTATCTACCTATATGAACCACAGACTACGTGCGTGCGTTACCGTCGACTTCAGGTTAACTGAAGCAAGGGAGAGAGGGGCGCGGAATTGCGCGAGTGGCCTGTGACGGCTTTTTGTGTCGGCGTTTAGTGGCCGGTGCGAGCCGCAAGAAGCAAGCTGCGACGATTTGTAGCGTGCGGCCGCCACCGGCGCCAACCGTGTGCGGCGAGTCCATATAAAATGTATGAAAATTACAGGAAATATGCCAGTGGCGGCGTTTTGTGGTTGTGGCCGGTGGCCCGTGTGCGGTGACCCTACATTGTTTTTATTGTATTTTTTATGTAATTGTAGATGTACTTATAAAGGTGCGCTTACACGGGCAACTAAAATTGCTCAATTCCAGTAAATACTCGTCAACTATGACGTCACGACTACATCAAGCAATTTACGGCAACGGTAACAAGCATCAATACTGCACAATACAATATTGAGCGATATGGCGCAACTTCATCAACTAGGCAATACTGTCCCACACGAGCATTTCAGTATTCGCTCGCTATGGACGACATTGTTGTTGCTGCGGTGGCTTGTAGCGCTTTTTTTTATTATTAATCAAAAACAAAAAAGAAATAAAAGGATGGTGTAACTAAATCTGGGTGCGATCGTTTTTGGCAAAGAGGCCGCAATTTTCATTGTGAATATAAAATTAAAGAAAAAAATAATTAATTAATTAAATTAATAATAATTAATTTTTGAATTTTTCTGTAATTCGTTAATTTACTTAATTGTTTTTTTTTCAAGAATTAGATAATATATTATTCAAAAACTTTACTAGAATGTCACGAACAGACTTTGAATTACTTTTGAAAAAAGTAATTAGAAATTATTATTATTTAGATCTCTCGCTCTCCCCGCGGAAGCAAGACGGCAAGCCGCAAAACAAACAAGTGCGAATAAGATATATACAACAATTGCTAGGAATTTCCAAGTCCATTGGATATTCGTCAATTCGTATCTGCGACATTGAGCGATATGAAATATCTGGAGCAATTAGAAGCAATATCGCCGAAAAAATTTATTGAAATTTATTGAAATTGCTCCATTAATTGCTCCAGATCGTTCCATTCATGTCGCCGAGCAATTATTGCCCTCGTGTATGCGCCTTAAGTAAGTTCGTCTTGTTTTTATCTTTTTGAAGTTATACTTCTTTAGGCGCGTTATGAAAAATTGATGAGAGTGAAATTTTACGATGCGCGCTTCTGATGGCGCATCCACACATGCCCGGCGACCTGGCCGCCGGCCTTGCCGCCGGCACACGCATTCTTTACCTGCGGCACGCGCGGCTTTAGGTTGCCGGCGGCAGTTCGCTGTCGGCTTCGATACGGAGTGGTAGTGTTGTTCATTTCATAAAAACAACAACATCTTCCAATCCTACGGACACTACTGACTTCGACGTCACGACGTTCACGAAAGTCACAACACTACTGCGAAAATTGCAACCGCATCTGCAGGCCGGCGGCAAATTCAGCGGCAAGGCGGTCTGTAAGCCGGCAGCATGTGTGGATGCGCCATGAGACACAAAGTTGTCAGAGTGTTTATAGCGTGCGCGAGCGAGATGGGATAAGACAATCTACAAGTAAAAAGAAATACAATATGCGTGAAGTTAGCAGCTATGCCAAGAATTTTAAATGACCATAATGACATTTACCTTTTAAACAAATAAAGGAGTTTTAAATATTTTTTCAAAGAAATTTAGCAATGCTTTTTCACAAAGACCTATTGTTACTTAGTTAAAAGGTTATGAAACATACCAAGTTATTAAATTGAATGAATAATATAATAAAATAATAATTGTTATTAATATTAATTAATATTTGAATAATATACTAAATATTAAATATTATTAAGTTGTTTACGTTAAATATTAATTATTAATTAATTATATTTAAAAAAAATAAAGAAAGCCAAAGAAGTATAACTTCTTACGCGCGTACATAAGTACACGCACCCTTTTTTTTTGTATCTGCTTCATGGCAATCTGCTTATCCAGCAATAAGCCACTTGTTTGTTTGATTTTACTCAGTTCATGTTATCCTCAAGAGCCATACTTGTACGAAACCTCTCACACGACTCTCTTGATGTCAAGAGGTATAACTCGTGCGCGATAAGTTGGGACCTTCTAGGAATGCGGCTCCCCGCCCGCTAACCCTGCACTTCCCCGATGGCACCCGTATTGTACCGTTCGCATCGCAAGTTTTTTACTAGGATTTTTAGACTTTAGTCTCGTTCTGGCTTACGTCACGTAACGACGCGCTCTGGAATCCTTTTAGTTTCGTTTGTGTTATTGTTTTGTTGTTGTAGTTTTTGTTATTATAGTTCTTTATTACATATAAATAATCCCCCAAAAAAATATTTGATTGATGAACTTTTTAAAGAGCATGGCCACGAAGTAGTTCATCTACCACCATACATGTGTGACCTCAATCCAATTGAATATATTTGGAATTTGGTCAAGCAAAGGGTAGCCGATAAAAATATCAACCAGTCAGAAAGGGAAATAGAAAAGTTAACAAGAGATGCAATTACCAGCATAAGTGAGAGTGACTGGAAAAAAGAAGTCAACCATGTGCACAGACTTCGACAAAAGTATTGGGATGATGACCTCTTACAAGAGACAAATGAATCGCAAATCATTGTACATTTATCTGATACTTCTTCATCAAGTGAAGATTATAGTGAGACTGAGGACGAAGAACAACCTTCTAGAAGGCATAAATCCACTTAGTAGTGACGAAGATTAGATATTGTAAATAATAGATACGAGTAAAATAAATGTAGAAACTTAAACATTGTATTTTTATTCATTACAAAACGTTACCTTTCTTTACTTTCTGTGATACATAATTAAATAGTATTCTATTGTATTTAAATAGTATAAAAAAATAAAGATTAGATAAAAAGCAGCATCATCCCTGAGTAACATAATAAATTAGGTTAAAAAAAACAAGGACGAAGCCACGGCGGCTGCTCGTTGTGTTCGCTTTTTTGCGGACGGTACAAACACGCCACTGTGACGTCACCGCGCTCAGGTCCCAACTTATCGCGTTCGGGTTGTAAATCTTTTATATGGGCTCGGTACGTCCCTTCTTTTTAGCCGCTTATGCTGAAGACCGCCTTCTCCGCTCAGAGCGTGTGCCAGTTTATTTACATGGGAGGTCAGCTTCTCCTGGTATTTCAGGCTGTTTTGAGCTATTTCCTGTCGAACTGTTTTTATGCCGAGGTCGAGGTATACCTATGTACCTATTGCTTATACAATGAGGGATGCCAAACATTGTTCTCAGAGCTTTGGTCTGTAATCTCTCAAAGATATCTATGTTACTGTTGCTGGCCGTTCCCCACAGTTGTATCCCGTAAGTCCAAATTGGTTTTAAGGTTGTTTTGTACACTAGCATCTTGCTGTTGGGATTAAGTTGTGATTTGCGTCCCAGTAACCAGTTCAGTGTCCGCAGCCTTTCATCCAGTTGTTTGCGCTTTGCCCAAATATGTTTTTGCCATGTAAGTTTCCTATCTAGGTGCATGCCCAAGTATTTTGCGTTATTTTCTTGAGGGATAACTTTGCAGTTTAGCGTTAAGTTCGTCTTGTAACAATTGTTTTAATGGCGGCGGGCGGGACAATAAATCACACTTATTTTCAACATCACTAAGTTCACTGGCCAACACTAGTCTGTCGATCAAAAATTTTTGACAATCGAAGATAATGTGCTCCACAGTTCCATCACTTGAATAAGATTGTCAATTGTCATATTTTGCCATATTCTATACAGTATACTTCTATAGTTATATTGTAATAAGTGATTTGTAGATATTATAATTTTTTATTGGTTCATTTGTAATTATTTAAAGGAAATATTAAAAATTTAGATTTTTACAGGGATCTGCCTCAATTAACATTATATTATGAAATGTGACAAGTAAATTTTTAAATTAAGAAATTATTAAAGACGTGGAAGCAAAATTTTGTTACGGACTTCGATTAGGTTTGTGAAGGGTATATGATATCAAAATGTTCAAAAAATTTAAAGATAAGCTAGCAGAAGAAGTGAAGTCTTCGCCACAACGAATACAACAGTTTGCACAAGCTGCTCAGGTCAGTTAAGGCACTTTAAAAACACTACATTCTACTAACTTATTCTATAAGCAAATTATTTTCTTACAGGCTGCTGTGACATCAGCATCAAGTAGTATATCTGATATCACAAACAATGACCTATTTTCAATAGAAGATAGTGGTGAGTAGCATTAACTTTGTTTTCCTTTTCATTAATGAACAAGATCTGAAATATATGAAAGAATTAGTTATTTATTAACAGATAACATTTTAAAATTTTCATATTTCTTCATAAGCAATAATATTTTTTTTATTGAAGCCTAAACATATTCATAGATTGATTTTTTTCAACTTTAAAGCATGACTGGAGTCTAACACTATTATTTAAAATTTCAGATAATTCAACTAAAACTCAATTATCTAACAGTCAGCCTAATGCAAGTCAGAACTTAAATCAATCTACGCTGAGTTCTGCAGATTATGCAGACTTTTCAATGGGTTTTGAGGTAATTCTTGCAATCTTATATCAATAGAGTTTGTGGCTTTAGTAAAGCTCTTTGTTTATTCAATGTGTTGCTAGGAAATGATTTGAGGGAGTTTGCCATTAAATCCAGTGACATAGAGTTTCAAATGTATTATATTGCTGTTAAGTTAATTTTATAATATAATTGTTTGACCCCATATTTTTAAAATTATATCAGTCTAATCACATGATTTTAACTATAGTCCACTTTTATCCCTTTTAGTGAAAAAAATTAACTCTTAATTTTTAAATTGTTCCAGAATCGACAACGACAAAGAAGATTATCTAATAGTTCATTTGCTAGTGACATATCATTTCAACTACCAAATTATGAGAGCCCATCTATGTACCATTTACAGGTATGTGATATACAGAAATATATTTCATAGGATACTCACATGTCTTAAGAAAAAGCTTACAAGATATCCTTGTGTGCAGGAATTATTATCATATATTTTTCAGGTATTGGTACAATAGACCATTACAATGATGCTACTACCGTAGATTTGTCCCTGATTGCATCCATTTATTTGATCAATTGAATTTTAAAAGATACAAGCAGGTGATCACCCATGTGCTGTATGCATTTTGTTGATTTTTTTGCACATATTTCCATCCATCGTAGGAGCAGGTGTTAATACACACATAAAAATAAAAATTCATTGGTGGTGGTGATTTGAATGACAACCTCTGTTGTAAAAAAATAAGCCAAAACAGGTGTGTGTCGAGCCTTCTTAGCTTACTATTCTGGTTTACATTCATAGGAAAGTGGGTATGTTTTGACACAGAAGGCTAATTAAGTTTCTTATTCAGTCACAAAAGGGTCCAACCCCATGTTACATAAGGTTATCTATTTAATAACCAACCTCTGAGAAGCTTTTACGTTTAATAATTGTTATTGTTTCTCTAGTCTGATATGGATGTGTCGGCCAGTGAAGCGGAAGAAGTTAATATTGGAAATGTGAACCTCAACCGTGTAACAAAAGAACAGTTGTATGCGGCTTACAGAAGGACACAGGAACGATGCAAAAAGTATAAAACACAATATTCTGATTTAGCGAGGCATTATAAACTTTTGGAAAGAGAAAATGCTAAAGCAAGGGTGTGTATTATTCATTGAATATTATATTAAATAAAATAAATGTTTATTAATAAGTAGTGGCCTGTCCCGAGTTGCCACTTCTATATTTTGGTCATAAATTCTTTGTTACCAGTGATAGCGTACTGTCTAATTGTGAAAGAAATTTTGGTAGGAAAACTAATTTAAAAAATATTAATTTCTATTGCACTGTCACCTTATGTTAATGTGATCGGACTACATATGTTTATGATTTTTTTAATAATTGAAGCAAAGCTCAACTTATTGAGTGAATAAATAGAATACAAGAACAGAGTGTCTTCCCTTTAAAAGACTGTAAGTAGTGTTATTGGACACTTTATGTTAAAATCCTTATACCAATAAGTAATTAGGTAAAATTACTTATTGGTCTTAAGTTAGGCAAGATTGTAATGTTTCATGATGTCTTAACAAAGATACATGTTTAAAATATATAAAAAAACAGCGCTACTTATACATTGACATATTTAAACTTAATATATATATATATATAAATTACGTGTCACGTTGTTTGTCCGCTATGGACTCCTAAAGTACTGAACCGACTTCAATCAAATTTGCACATTGTGTGCAGTTTGATCTAACTTAAAAGATAGGATAGCTTACATCTCAATTTATACCCGCAATATTATTTTATTGCAAAATATTTGTTTATTATTTGATAGTCACAATTCTAACAGATGGCGCTGTATTGAAAGTACCAACGTTTCACATAAGCTACAATTTAATGGCATAACCACCAAAAAAGCATGGTGGTCCCCATGACTGGTGTTCTCCTACGGTTTCCCTGCAAGTTTCTGCAAGTCATTAAACTCCTGACTTCATAACCGCCTTACAATTATGGTTTACAGATCTGTGATACTGTATTGTCAAAGAACCAAATTTGTTATTTTACTAATTAATTTAAAATAAACAATATGTTATTTGTAGAATGTTCTCGTTGAGACACAAGATAAAGCATTGAGAAGAATATCAGAACTAAAAGAACAGTGTTTGTTGGAAAATAGTGCAAAAGTAAGTTTTAACCAATTTTTTTTTAATTTGTCGGAAACCAAATTCAATGTATAATATATCAAAACAGAGCTATAACCCCAGGATTTAGGCCTAGGATGTATGTATCTGTTTTGTGATTATTTGTTTTTTTTCTAATAAGCAAGTAGATGATCAACCTTCTGTGACACACGCTGTCAAGTGGGTCTAAGTAGTTCCGGTTTCCTCTTGATGTTACCCTCCATCGTGCGAGCGAATGGGGCACATAGAAGTAAAGTCCATTGGTGCTGGGGTTCAAACCTACGACCTCAGGGATGAGAGGAGCTCATTGCTTTTACATGAGTATTACCTCTTTTAAGACTTTTCTATCAGAATCGGAATCGTTATGCTTTTCTTTGTTACGTGAATTCAAAAGTTTACGCAATAAAACAAATCTATTGGTCCAAAAACTATAAATGTACTCATAAATATTTAGTTAATTTATCTATGGTAGAAATTTGTGTCTTAACAACGTCTTAACGTTGAAAGTAGTCAAACTCAAAATATCTTTATTCATATAGATATCCAAGTACACTTATGAACGTCAACAGAAAAGTTGTAAAATTGATTCTTAATTTACATTTACTACCAGTTCGCAAGGGCGTAAAGCGGCCGAAAAGAACTGGCGAGATGCTCTCCGCCACTCTTTTTAATCGGCACGTTTTGAGTCATACAAATTGTTTGAACTGGAGAAAATCAATCCCAAGGATTAGGATCATTTCAATAATCGTCAAATTTATAAAAAGCTTTATTCATTAATTTACGTTTAACGAGAGTTTTAAAGTGCATTCATATCTTGTGAACTTGAGTATTATTGTATCTATTTAATCAACATTTCGATCTCAGTTGAGGCTAACACTCTGTACTAGATAAGCTTATTACTAATATTAAAAGTAGTTTTGATTTTACAGGCCCATCTGGAACAAGTATTGCGTGTTGAGTTGGAAGAAAAAAATATGAAGATTGAGTCCCTGAGTACCCAACTTAGTGTTTTGCAAAATGATAATTTAGTGAATAAGAATGATGCTAATGACAATGCACAAATGCAATTAATAAGTTTAAGTGATGACAACGAAAAGGATGCGACCCAATCGGCAGAAGTTATTAATAATAAGATTGAAAAGTTAGAACAATTACTAAACAAGTATAAGGAATCACTTAAAGTGACTAAAGAAAAGAATTCCAACTTAACCACTGAAATACAAAAGCTTAACATACAATTGGACACTAAAACAAAAGAAAACGATCAATTGCAGCAAAATATTGAGAAAATGAAAGAAAGCACACAAAACGTTCAAGAGTTATTAAACAAAATAGAAACTTTGGAAAATTTAAATAGTTCTCTAGAATTTTCTAAAAATAAAGATGTCTCGATTTTAGAATCCAACTTGAAAAATTCCCAAGAAGAAATTGCCGAATTACAAAATAAGATAAAGATATTGAGTAAGAGAGAAGAAGAATATGCTATTTCATTGGCAGAGAACAAATTGAGAATTCATAAAGAACTAGAAAGTAAAGAAACCGAAATAAAAGCGCTTAAGGGTGGTTTAGAAAACGGATGCCAGGAAATCGAAACTCTGGAAAAAACTGTTAAAGATCAGAAAAATAAAATTCTACAATTAGAAAGTGACATTCTTAAATTAAATAATGACGTTCATGATTTATCCTTTACTAAAACAAAATTGGATAATCTTAATAAAGAATACGGTAATCTTAACGAAAAGATCAAGGTTTTAGAAAATGCCAAAGCAAAATGTGAAGAAGATATTAATTGTCTCCATTTACAGCTTAAACAAGAAACAGCTGAAAAGCTATCGGTCATTGATCGTAATGTTTACTTAGAAAGTCGTAACTCACAATTGACAGATGAAAATACAAAGAAGCGTTCTCAAATTAATAAACTCGAAGAGGAAGTGGCGTTAATGAAAAGTAATTTAAATGATTTAAAAACCACTTTAGCTCAACAGGAACAAAGCGACACAGAATCCAGTATTCTAAGACTAACCGAAGAAGCTTCGGCATGGAAGTTGAAGTGTAGTAGTTTGGAATCGGAAATACAAGATGAAAGAGTTGAACTAGGAAAACTGCAGTCGGAAATCGAGAAACTTCTGCAGAATCATGAAGCCTTACAAAACCAAAATATCGAACTTAGTGCAACTTTTGAAAGGTTACAATCTGAAAATATGAAACTCTACAACGAAGTCGATAAATATAAAGCAATAAAAATTCAACTTACCGAATTTAAAAAATGTGCTACAGATATACGTGGAGTTATGGGAGTGATATCAAACGAATCAAGATGTTTAAACAACGAAGTAATGAACTGGCTACCTCGACTTAACGACGGTATTGTTAAGCATCAGAATCTGGCTTACAGACAAATAAAGGAATTAGAACACACCCAAACCTGCTTAAAGGAACAAAATTCGAAAATAACGACGGAGTACGAAATCCTCACTAAAAGTGCAGATTTAATGAGAGTCGAAAATGAGAAATTAAGGTTAGCTTTGCAAGACAGTGAATCTAAATGTGAAAGTATTTTGGATCAGCTAAATAATCTTACTAAAGATAATGATGCAATAAAATCAAATTTACAGCAATATAATTCTTTAGATAATGAAAATAAAGAACTGCACAATAAGATTAAAACCTTAGAAGAACAAATCAATAAACTTAGCAAAGAGTTGAATGAAAGCAATGAACTACATAAGTCTAGTTTGTCACAAATTGAGACTTTAACTAAAGAGAAGTGTAACGCGTCTGAAACTAAACAAGAATACGAAGAAAACCTAAAACGTATTAACGAATTAGAAAATAATTTGGAAATAATGCAACAAGAAAATGCTAAATTGATTGTATCTAAAACAGAAATAGAGAATTTATATAAAACTTTAGAAATTGAAATAAATGAACTACGAGATAATTATTTAAAGAAGGAAAGTGATTACGAAGCTTTGAAAAATGAAAGCAACAGTGAAAAATCAAAACAACATGAGATGCAAGAGAAATATGAGAAGATACAATCAGAACTCTTAGAAATGAAAGATACAGTATCATCGTTAAAAGACGATAACAAAAATCTACGCCAGTTTAAGGAAGATAAAGAAAAACAAATTGAAGAAACGGAAGCTGAATTAAATCATGTACGGGACCAGTATGAATCTAAGTTAAAGGAATTTAATGAAGAGAAAAATTCACTTAAATCAACACAGACTGAAATTGATAAAAAGTTATTGGACTACGAAAAACAAATTAAAGATGTCAGTGCCGAATTAAATCAAGTACGCCAGAGTTATGAGGGCAAACTAAAAGAGTTAAATACTGAAAATGATTCACTAAAATCTTCCCAAGTTGAAATTCATAGAAGCTTAAAGGAGGAAAATGATAGACAAATTAAGGAAATTGAAGCAAAATTAAATCAATTACGCGAGAGTTATGAACATAGGTTAAAAAAATTAAATAATGAATATGAATTATTTAAATCGTCACAAGATGAAATTCATAAAAAGTTAAGAGAAGACAATGAAAAACAAATGAAAACAGAATTAAGTCAAGTACGCGAGAGTTTTGAAAGTAAATTAAAGGAGTTAAACAATGAAAATGATTTACTTAAATCTTCCCAAGTTGAAATTAATAAAACCTTAAAGGAGGCACATGAAAAACAATTGAAAGATATCGAAGCAGATTTAAATTCAGCACAAGATAGTTATGACAGTAAATTAAAGGAGTTAAATAATGAAAATGAATCACTAAAACGATCACAAGCTGAAATTTATGAAAAGTTCAAGAATGCAGAATCAGAATTGACACAACTTATTTCAAAATATGACGAATTGGAGCAAAAAACAGTTGAGTTGAATAATGTAATCAAAGATTTGGAAACGAAAAGTATATCACAAAATAACATTATTGAAGAACAAGAGAAAGCAATATCTTTGCACAAAGTCTGCGAATGCGACAGTCTCAGAGAAGATAACAGAAGACTATGTTCCGACATCGAAGGCCTACAAACTTATTTAACGAAAATTTCAAAAGAAAATAGCGAATTGAATGATAAACTACGTGAAGTGTTGGCAAGTGAAAATTCAAGTGACAGTGAACTACAAACAGAAATACAATCTGGTAAAGATAAAATCGACGAACTTTTAAGAGAAAATTCGTTGTTAATTGAAGAAAATTTAGAATTAAAAGATCAAATACAGAACAGTACACAGACGCGCGCACCGAGCAGTGAAGAGAAAAACCTAAACGATAAATACAAACTATTACATGAAGCGAAAAGCAGTTTGGAAATCAAAGTTAACGAATTGGAAGAAATCAATGATTCGTTAAATAGATCTATGGATCAAAATCAAAATAATTATGAAAGACTGAAGTTGTCTAATGAGAAGTTGCAAAGGAAACTGGATGAAGCTCTCGTCAGTCTAAGACATTTGCATGCCCTCGAAGAGAATACGGAGTTGGAATACCTTCGAAACATTTTGTATGAATATTTAACTGGGCCAGGGTCACATTCGCTGACATTAGCCAAGGTGCTGGCGGCTGTAGTCAAATTTGATGATCGACAAACTGAACAAGTGCTGGTAAAGGAAAGGGAGCGGCAAGGTTTTGTAAGTATCTAGTATGTCCTGTGGGTTGTCTTTGATTGGGAATTTTTTATACTAGCCCTCTTCCTCATGAATCTATGTGCGCATTAATCGAAATTCATGCCTTAGACCTTGGCGTGTGTCAGGCACAGAAGGCTGATCACCTACTTGCCTGTGACCACGAAATAGATATAGAAATCGGAGGCCCAGACCTTAACGGTCGAACCTTTTTTTTATTAAAGTTTTTACCATAAGAATATGGCTTTACACTTACCTTCCAAGTCAAGTAAGTCAATAGAAAGTTATCTTAATTTTAGAATATACACATTTTTTTTATATTGTTGTCCAGCAATGTTTCTATGCCCACACAATATATGGAAATCGAACCCAGGGACGAATATGTACACCACAGAGTAATAATGTATTATTATTTTATAATTAATGATTATAATATATTCCAGCTTCACCAACTAGGAATCATTTGATATGAAGATAACGGATATAAAACTAAATAAATTTATTTGCCGAATTGTGTCTATGGTAGTAAAATGACAATTTGTGGCTTGAAGTTTTTTAATATGTATTGTGTGAAACATTTTCTTATGTAAATAAACGAGCAATATACGGTCTCTAAAGTGGAAAGAAAATCTATTTCATACTGATTAATCGAAATTAAATTCTCTTGTTATTATTATAGTTTGACAGTAATCTTTTATACTAAATGTGAAAAAAGAAATATTTAATTTTTGTAAATAATAATTATATTTATCCACATAACAGCGCTCTCTCTTTCTGCAGAGACTAGATTAAATACGCCGTTTACTATAATTGTCTGTCTCTTTTCATCCCACTGTAAACACAATTTATCGGAAAGAGATAAGACTACTTTAGTTAGAACTGCAATATCTAGTTTTATAACGACCTTGAACTCATATCAAGGTCAAGGACAAGTGCTATAGTTTGTCGATTTTGTTCTTAGTTTGTATTGTCGATGTCGATTTTATTCGTATTAAAAAAAATCTTTGTAATATATATTTGTATTAAACTTTCAGCTTTTTATACATTTTCAGATTCCTAATATTAAAACGGTTTTATACAGTTGTGAATTGTAAGCTAAATAGTTTTGGGCACAGTAAAATAATAAAATCAAAAATATAGATACGTAGACGGCTTTTTAAAACCTAGGTTCTAGACTAAAGGTCTGGTTATGATAGTCACGATTTATTACAAGAAAACTTTTTAAGTCCACTAGTGAGTTATAAGAACATAATATATAAGAATTAAGACGTAATGGCGCTGACCGAGACTTAGCGCTATTTTTGACGAGTATCAAAAACATTGGATTAGACGTATGAGACTCGTACGCGCAAGTCTTCCTTATATCTATATCTGCCATGAGACCGTAATTCCATGCCATATAAGTTTTTATATTTATTAATTTTATATAAAAGATAACTGTTTATAGTGTACTTAAGGGATCCATAATGTTTTAAATTTAATTAAATTACAAAATGTTATGATATATTGTGTCGTATGTCACATTGACATAAGCTTGATCAAAGAGAAGAAAGTATAAAGAAGAAATAACTTTACCGCGTATTACGTATCTATAAACAAATAGAGTATAAATCGGGCTGGAAAACTACTATTAAAACAATAATGGCGGGTGAAAAGTGAAGAAAAAAAAATTTACTAGAGTATTCGATATTGAGAATATTTAGCTCACGGTGACAGTGATGACACTACTGACGATAGGAATGTTTTCGGGGTGAGAATATAAATTGTAGAAGAGTTCAAATGATGGATTGTCTCTTGATTCTATCACAGGCACGCGACAGTTTCTACTAACCACAATTGAACGTAACGTTTTTTGATAATTTGATGTAATTATGAAAATGTTTTAAAAATAAAAAAAACTTGGCTTGGTTCATACGTTGTGACCGCTGAGTAAAGTAAGAGGAAGAACACAATTTCCTCCCTTCACATGTTTAACATTTATTTTATTTCTTAGATGTTACTAACAATTGTTCAGTGTGTTAGGCTATTTTAATTCGATTAACATTCCATTTAATGAGTGGATTAATTTGTTATTTAAATATTTAATAAGATTTTTTTTAAATATTTATTAAAACTAAAGTTATGTTAATATGTATACAACCTAATTTATAATAAATATAACAGTTACATAAATGATTTTTATTTAAATTCTACAAATTATGTACCCTTTTTAAATATAAACTTTAAGGGTATCTTCTTAAGGGTCCTTTGAATTGAAGCAAGAAACAAAACTTTTAAAATGAAAAAAAATATTTTTGTTAAACATAAATAAATTTTTAAACCCCTAATGTTATACAGCTGGGTTAATAAAGTTCTGATACACATTCCCACGGCCACCACACTGAGTGTTAATTTTTTACAGGATTAACATTTGTGGCACCAACCTGAACCACGTATTTGTTGATTACTATTGTTAAAGTCTGTAAGGGAGCGTTCAAGTATTACGTCACACAATTTTTGGGGATATTTAACCCCCCCCATGTAGCGCGCCGTAACATTTTTCTGTACCCGTTTCGTGACCACCTAGTAATTCTTTATACCGAAAAGTTACCATTATGTGGTGTAAACTACTGGAAAGTCGAAAATAATATTAACAAAAGTCGTAATTCAATCCCCGCCCGCATCGTATCGTTTTACAAAAAGACCCCCCGCCCAAAATTCGTTACGTAATACTTGAACGCTCCCTTAGGAAGTAGTCGAACTACAGTAATAAAAAAGTTATTAATGTTTAAAATATTTATTTGTATTGAAATAAGTTATAGAAATATTGTCAATCTTCATTGTCAGACTCAGAATGATCCTCTTCACTTGTAAAACCTTCAAATGAGTCATCATCTATGGTTGCCATTTCAGACATTAATTTTTCAATTTGCTCTGGTGTATGTCCTCCTTCTTGCTTTTTTAGATGTCTAGAAAAGTATGAAAATAAAATGAATAGGAAATTTAACAACTCATTGTTAAATAACTACATATAAACATGGATACTTTTTTATTTTATTTTAACAAACTGAATTTCTACATTTATTAATTTTTATTCATAATATTCTAAGAATCAAAATATTATTATTAGTTTTACTTAACATATTTTTTTAAAGGGTAGGAATTTATATAACTAATTTATGCTTCATACTTTAATGGAGTCACAGTTCTTTTTTATATTTAAAATATTATAATGTTAGCCATAGTTCAATGATTGAAATGTGCAACAATTATTTTTAATGGGTAAGCAAAGAATGCTGCTTATTTAAAACTATAAAAATAATCTTTAAAAGATATCTCTATGGGTAACTCAGTGCCATGACAGAATGAACACTATGACTTCTGTATGTTTAATATCTAATATGTTTTAATAAACATGAGTAATATTAACTGCTAAATCTTGGCATATCTATGTATTTGTATTGGCTTAGAGGTTAGTTTAGTTACTGTGTCAGGTTATGTGCCAATACGACACAAATATAAATATTCAGCAGTATACACAAGTACTACATGTTATAGTAAATTTTGATGTAATACATACCGAAGCAATGTTCGTTTCTTTCTTTCAGGAAGATTTTTTATCATAGCTTGTATTTCGTTTTCACTCATTTCATGGCTTATTTGTTCTGTTGCTATGTTCTAAAATCAGAAGTTCAAAAGTGTAACCTAGTGTTAAAAAAGTGACAAAACATCAAACGAACGATTCATATCAACACTTATACTTAGTAATTCAAAACAGCAAGGAAAGGCAAACTATAAACTGAAGAACTTACTTCTATTGGTTTACAACATTTAGCACACACATTTTTTTCAGCAGCACATTTTTTACAAAATATATGGTATGCTTGTTTGACATTTTTTTGATCACAGCCAACACATTTTCTCGGCGTAGCAAGTGGTTTATATTTTTTGTACTTTATTTTCCATTCAATTATTTCTTTGCAACGTGGGCAGACTCCCGAAATCTGCAAAGCGTTGAGGGTTTTTGTTTTTTTGCTAGTATCATGTAAATCATTTTTGAAAGTTGTCCGGTTTTGATGTTTCTGAGGTCTGTTTCTTTGAAGATTTCCTTTTGATAAACTCATTTTTAGTTATGTTATACAGTAAACATATATTTAAATGAAAAGTTAACTTGACTTATTTTACACATGCTTTTGAATTATGAGTTATGAGTTATGACTTATGACCTTCTTGTTTTCAATCACAGATTACTTATAATAGAATTTTAGACTATAGTATACTGTTTTCAAAGACTATACTCGAAATAAGAATGTACCTTGGTAGACTATTCGCATTGAGCACGAGACATTGAATTACAATAAACAATTCTGTAACAAACAAATTTTTTTTTGAAGTGAAACTTCTTTATCAGTCGAAGCTGTTGCCAAAAAGTTAAAAAAAAAAAAAAACTTCTTTATCGGCGTTGGAAAAAAATTTAGTGTAACATTTTTGCGTTACGCGTCACATTTTTCCGTTACGCGCCATGTTGCTTTTTGAAGTCAAACTTCTTTATCGGCGTTAAAATATGACATATAGTATGTTTTTGACTTTGAAGTTTGACAACGGATTACATTTTCGAAGTCAAACTTCTTTATCGGCGTTAAAATATGACATATAGTATGTTTTTGACTTTGAAGTTTGACAACGGATTACATTTTCGAAGTCAAACTTCTTTATCGGCGTTAAAATATGACATATAGTATGTTTTTGACTTTGAAGTTTGACAACGGATTACATTTTCGACTTGAAATTTGCTAATCGCAATTTGCAGCAATTAATTTGTAAATTGTATGCTAGGCAGTGTTAAAAGAAATAGTTTCTAATAAGGTCATAAAGAAGTTTCACTTCTTACGTGTGTACACCTAGTACACGCACACATTTTTTTTTATTAAACATTCAATCTTCCGCCTTGTTTTGAAAATACATATACAAATGGTTAACTTTATAATAAGTATTTTTTTGAAGTGAAACTTCTTTATCGGGGTTGGAACAAAATTTAGTGTAACATTTTTTCGTTACGCGTCACATTTTTCCGTTACGCGCCATCTTTTTCTTGTCCCTACCACGGTTGATCCGAAGAGATTCGAAGCCATTAGTAACAAAAATATATAACGATAACAATGATAGTAATACTAATAATTCTATTACAATTAATGAAATTCTGTAATAATCTTAGTACTACATAGTAGTACAGTAATAAGTTAAAATGAAATAATTGTATTTGTATTTATGTCTATGATAATAAAAGCCTTTTGTTAAACTTTATCTAATTTAACTTTATTTAACCAATTTCTGTAAAGTTGCATATAGTAGATCATTTTTCGAAAAATAAGGTCATAAAGAAGTTTCACTTCTTACGTGTGTACACCTAGTACACGCACACATTTTTATTGTTTCAAACAATAACATATACTTTTGCGGCTTATCATTGTTTAAAACAACGTTGTAACGTCTCAATTTTTTTCTAATCTTTAAATGGACTGGCTAATTTTATGATTTTGGAAAACTATATCATTAACTATTTCTTGCGTTAATAAAAATTTAGTTTTACGAAGTTCGTAATTCGTTAAGTTTTAGTTTAATTATGCTACAACGACCAAGAACCAAAATTATGATCTGATTCTGGATTTGAAGCCAGGGGAGTAAGAACAACACATTGCAATATTAAATTGTATATGAGCTAATTTATTTTACCAAAAAATAAATTATGCGTGTACTAGGTGTTCACACGTAAGAAGTGAAACTTCTTTATGATCTTATTTTTCGAAAAATGATCTACTATATGCAACTTTACAGAAATTCGTTAAATTAGATAAAGTTTAACAAAAGGATTTTATTATCATAGACATGAATACAAATATTTCATTTTACCTTATTACTACGAAGATTATTATAGAATTTCATTAATTGTAATAGAATTATTACTATCATTGAAAAACGTGACGATTTGCTAGAAAATTTCTCCCATACGTCGATAAAGAAGTTTCATTCCAGCGCCGATAAAGAAGTTTGACTTCAAAAAGCAACATGGCGCGTAACCGAAAAATGTGACGCGTAACGAAAAAATGTTACACTACATTTTTTTCCAACCTCGATAAAGAAGTTTCACTTCAAAAAAATTACGTCACGTGACGTCGTCACATTTTTCCGTTACGCGCCATCTTTTTCTTGTCCTGCGATTTCGGATTCAGTTTATTGATTAGTTGCAAAATTTGTTGTTTGTGAAGTTTGCCTACCTCTGAAAACTAACTTCAGGCTTATCGCAACGTACTGTTTATATTGGATAATTTTTTTCACGTTATATTTAATTAATATTGCAGTATTATGTTTACTTATAAATAGAAATTATGCTTTTAAATCATTATTATTTATGTCAAAAACCGTGCAGTGCGTTCATAAAATGTATCTAATATATAAATAAAGGAAAAATTCTACGAAAGATTATCTAGGCGGTATGGTCGAAAGACTATAGCCTGCGCCATGGGAGAAAAAAAATAGTTGCCTTTTGCTGTGTTTGCCTGTCAAGCTTGAAGCTTTCAATCTTTTATTTCATTCAACTGTAAAGTGAAAATACGGCATCAAAATATAATCCCAAATAGGTATTTCTTTTGCTAAATTTTCTTTGTAACTGTAATATTATAAAGTTAAAGAGTCTTCAATGGTCGACACATTGGTTTGAATAAATAATGTCCATGAACAATAATTGTATTGTACCTATGTGAACCGCGGTATCTATGTTCTTGTCCATTTGTTTTTCCTAGTTGTAGTTGTAGGCTAGGTTCGATTACGATCAAACATTAACGTATACAAAGTACAAACACAGTTTTAAAAATTCTAAAACAGAAATATTGATCTAAACATTATCTTATACGGTACTTGCCCCGGCTTAACTATTATTTTGGGTTGGTAGACCTAAACACAACAAAATACGCAGAAATGGTTCTAACCCGTTGAGTTATTAAAGGACTACAAGAATCATCAGATGCTTTGTGTTATGTCTTATAAACAAACAATTTTGAAACATTTAATTTATGTAAAGATATGTGTAATAAGACATAGTTTTGTTTATATATTTATATTAAACACTTTACTTTTATTTTAAGTACCTATGTACTATCTATATTGGTATATTATTTTTTCATCTTGTTTAGTTTTATTTATAAATTGAAGAAGAAAGACCAAGTAAGAATCTGCATTGCAGCTCTTACAATATACATATCATCATTACTGTTTAAATATATAAATTACAGTAATTAAGTTGCCTTTGGGATTGACTTGAGGATTTCTAGCTGGACTTTATTGGACTATTGGACCGAGTTTAGATTCTCATGAGACTTTTAATTATTTTAATTTGAAAGGCACAGATACATATCATTATTTTAATAACAGATTTTATTATACAATTCTAGGTTTACAAAACAAGAATTTTAAACAAACATGGATGACTATGACACAGAGGAATTTTATGAATATCCACAAGAGATGGGAAGAAATCACCCTGAATTTCAAATGCCTCCTATGAATGATAATTTTAATAGGTAAGTAATGATCAAGCCAACAAATAGTATCAGACTTACGTAGCAACAAATTATAAATGTTAATTAAAATTGGGTTTCAATAACATATGGAATGTTTTAATCTGTGCTGTTTAATACTAGTAATGAAAAGATAACCTTGTATCACATAAACAAAAATTATGCACATTCTTCATAATAAAATTATTATAATGACATCTCTGTATCATGTAGGTACATGTTAATATAATATGATGATTTTGAATATTATAAATATATTGGTTTTGTCTGTTTCACTGTGATGCCATGATAAAGCAAAGTCTTTAGTATCAAGAATTTTGAGTCTTAGACAGTATTTTTAAGTATTAAAAGTCTGATAAGTTTTAAAAATATCTTTGAAGTTTGTGATTTCTTGGGTTGCAAACGGTTATTTTTAAGGTGGCCCGGGCTCCTTTTTTAGGTCCAATTTTGGAATAGATAATTAACATTGTAAGACTTGACCCACCGGAGCCCCCTCTGGGCTACATAGAGTGTCGGAGCGTTCAAGTATTACGTCACTCAATTTTTTGAGATAATTTGACCCCCCCTGTAACGCGCCGTAACGTTTTTCTGTACCCAAGTATAGTAAAACGTTTCGTGACCACCTAGTGACTCTTTATATCTAAAAGTTACCATTATGTGGTGTAAAGTACTGGAAAGTCGAAAATAATATTACCAATAACGCGTAAATCAAACACCGCCCCGCATCGTAACGTTTTACAACAGGACCCCCCCTCCCCCAAAATTCGTTACGAAATACTTGAACGCTCCCTATGTGGTGAGGTGGCTAAAGATGAATAATTATTGATTAATAAAATTAATAAGATTTTAATGAAAAACATTTTTTCAGAAATCGTTACAAAAGCGCATACGGCCCATATTCCGGGGGATACGGGCCAATGGGGGGGCGGGAGGGGCGGATTTGGGCCAAACGATAACTTTGGCCCTCCGCTTGGCTTCGGCCCTCCGCCACCTCCTGGCCCTCCTCCACCTTCTGGCCCTTGGCCTTGTGGGCCTGCAATGTGGACTAGAGGACCTCCGTATCCATCTAGGTCACAAAAGAATGACGCTGTCAAATATTTAATTAGTGAGTAGAAAGTACTTACTAATTAAATGATGGTATAACATATACTTTCAATACTACTAGATCAATAGTGTAGAATTTTTTATCTGGTCACACTATAATGAAGTCGCCAATTTCTATTAGTTTTGATTGTATTAATTTGTTTACAGCAAATTAATCCAGGAAATTTTGTTTATTTTTATTCTTCAATCAAAACCTTATATTAGAATATGTTATAGGGTTAAGGCATTAGGTTCCAATATGATATGAAAACATTTCTTCGTAATAGACAATGGCTGTTGCGTTATAAAGAGTGAATTAATGTATGGCTTTCGTGTTAAACCAAATAAATTTAACAATTTTTTACGTTATAGAGAAGTTTCGGTATACCGAATAAGGTTATAAAGACTTTTATAACCTTATTCGTAATTGGCACCACGTAATTTGGTTATACAGGGTGTCCCAGAAAGAATGGATAATCCTTGAACCCCGCACGGAACAGCTCTCCAGCGCTCAGAAAAAAATATCAAAAAAAAAAATTCCAAGTGATGCCCAAAATATGTTTTTTTTTAGAAAAACATACGTTATTTTTACTTTACTTCACATTCATGTGCACAACGGCCACAAAGTAATGAAATTTGTGGCGTTTTTGGTGTCATCTTATTCCTGATAGACTATACTACTAGAAATACATTAAATAATATAAGTATCTATGATACTTTTTTCAAAAACAAAATGAGAACTTGAGTTTTTGACATGAAATTTGATAACATAATAATTTTGGCATAGTTTGAGAGTGTTTCATGTAAAAAAAAAGTATGAAAACGTAAGTGACCAGCTATTTAAAAAAAATGCGCAGTTCATACCGTTTACAAAATGGTATAATACATCATTTTATCTAATACTACTACGAAGTTATTGCTATTGAGATGCAAAAAGAGTAAATACGACTAAAAAAGAAAAGATAAGTTTTAATAAATTTTAATAATAATAAAAAATCGGGTGTACATAAATCGAGCTTTATTCACAAAAGGTGTTCAAATTGTTTGCCACCGACTCTAATACATGCTCTACATCTTCTTATAAATGCTCTTCTGAGATAACGTGCGTAGCGTCGTTCGTTTATTTTTGAAACGCTCTCTTGAACACGGCTTCGTAATTCCTCTAAAAAAAAATTTTTTTTTGAGTACACTTGTTCCTTTAAACATCCCCAGTAAAAAAAGTCCAGTGGGTTTAAATCCGGGGATCGAGGAGGCCACAAAATGGGACCCAAACGACCAATCCATTTATTTGGATAAGTGGCATTTAAATAAGCACGGACGTTTGTGCCATAATGTGCAGGGCAGCCATCATTCTGTAGCCAATGGGATTCCCTTAACTCCTCAGGCACTTCTTCCATTAAGTTCGGGAGATCATTTTGCAAAAAATTTAAGTAACTTTGAGAAGATAAATTTCCCGGCAGTTCGAAAGGCCCAATAATTATTCCGTTTAATATACCAGTCCAATAATTTACTTTGAACTGGTATTGCGACCTCTCTTCTCGCATTAAATTTGGATTGGAGAGTTGCCAGCTGTGCAGATTATGCATATTAAAGTAGCCGTCTTTTTTAAAGTTGATTCGTCGCTCCATAGAATTTTACCAAAGAATTGTGGATCTTCTTCTATTTTTGCAAGCATTTGTCGACAAAAAAACAATCTTGCATTGTAATCTCTCGGTTGCAGAGCTTGGACGCGTCTAATGTGGTAAGGATGATATTTATTTATTTTCAGTACACGGTGCACGGTCGTTTTCGGGATTCCAGTACGCTGTAATATTGATCTTACAGAGGTCGACGGGTCTTGCTCAATTTCGTCAAGCACAATGTCTTGAGTATTAATATTCGATTGTCTTCCGGAGCTCGTACCACCAATGCCACTGCCAGGTATTCTGCCTTCCGAATAACATCTATGGACTCTCACGAATACACGGTAATCTGGATGACGTTCATTAGGATATCTTTCTCTATAAAGGGCTGCAGCAGCACTTGCGTTGCTCCTGCACTCACCATAGATGAAGTGCATGTTGGCGTATTCTTGTGCCGTATATTGAATCCGCGGCATTTTGATTCACTGAATCAGTCCAAATACAAGCCAAGTCGTCGTTAAAATCACCAAACAAAGTCCAAATCAGTAAGCAAAACGAGTAGTCCAATAAATAGCCAGAAATCGTCGTTATAACACTGATTCAAACTCACAGAGAAATGCGAAAGGAATGCACACATGCGACACCGAACAAGTCGAGAGACGCACTACTAAATAATCTAAGTAAATGTCTTTGCTATGCATCTGAAACCGATCTGATAATGATCAAACCGGTGTACCGAAAAAAAAGCGAAAAAAGATCTTTTCTCTCACTCGCTCATACTCTACAAACCTATTCTTGTCTCACAACATATGGGCTTGGGCCACGCTCAGGTAGTAAATAGTAACCACCCCTAGTACAATAAAAAGGGACCCTTTTTTGGAACGCTATTGTCAATGTTACCGTTTAAGACAAGATAAAATATCATTTTACAATTTTCTGTCGTATTTACTCTTTTTGCATCTCAATAGCAATAACTTCGTAATGGTATTAGATAAAATGATGTAAGGGGTGTCTCAGTAAGAGTGCACTTTTTAATTTTTAAATAAAGACAAGTGTTTGATGACAGAGTTCTGATATTTTTATTGTATTGTAAAGAAGACATGTTCCGATTAAGTATGGAATAAAATATCCGGCAAATGACCTCCACGGCTCCGATGATAGGCCATTACACTCTTCATGAAATTTTCCATGACTTTTTCACAGAGATGTGGCTGTATCTCACCGATGACGCGTTGGATTTTCGATTTAAGCTCAGGAATGGTTTCGGGTTTATTCGCATAAACTCGAGATTTCACAAAACCCCAAAGAAAAAATCGTACGGCGTTAAATTGCACGATCTTGGTGGCCAGTTGACATCAGGATTTCGTGAGATAATGTGTTCTGTTCATCGGAGAAAATGAGTTTTTACGAAAAATTGGCATCGACTTCCCTTTGCTCCATTACTCATTGAACAAATTGCCGGTGCCTTCCTTGGTCTGCTGGTTTGAGCTCTTGAGTTAACTGAATCTTGTACGCATGAAGGTCTTTAGTCAAAATTTGCTAAGTCGAATTGATGTTTTCGGGTATTCGGCGACACTCTCGTTTACAGCAGCAATGTTTTCAAGGGACCGACCGGTACGTTGACGCAAAGGATTCCTATTATCCATACGTAATTGACCCAGTTTCTTCAAATTTTTTGACCACTCTTCGAATGGTTGACACATTAGGTGCACTTTCTCGGCTGAAAATTTGGTGAAGTTTGCGAGCGTTTTCAGCGTTACTTTTGTAATGAGTTTTCACAATTATAACGAGTTGTTCTTTCGAAAAGCGCTCCATTTTTAATAATCGGAATAAACAGAGGTGTCACCTGTCAAATTTCAGAGTTGCCACTTGCAGGAAAACCAAAAATATTACAATTTTAAAAAGTGCACTCTTACTGAGACACCCTATATTATACCATTTTGTAAACGGTATGAACTGCGCATTTTTTTTAAATAGCTGGTCACTTACGTTTTCATACTTTTTTTTTACATGAAACACTCTCAAACTATGCCAAAATTATTATGTTATCAAATTTCATGTAAAAAACTCAAGTTCTTATTTTGTTTTTGAAAAAAGTATCATAGATACTTATATTATTTAATGTATTTCTAGTAGTATAGTCTATCAGGAATAAGATGACACCAAAAACGCCACAAATTTCATTACTTTGTGGCCGTTGTGCACATGAATGTGAAGTAAAGTAAAAATAACGTATATTTTTCTAAAAAAAAACATATTTTGGGCATCACTTGGATTTTTTTTTTTTGATTTTTTTTTCTGAGCGCTGGAGAGCTGTTCCATGCGGGGTTCAAGGATTATCCATTCTTTCTGGGACACCCTGTATACCATAAAAAAGTGTTTCAGTATTTTTTTTGAAATTATTAAATGATATTTAGAGGTCGCTACCAAGGTTTGAATTTTAAATAAACATTGAAAATCTGTATTTGTTAGAATTCTTTATTTTTATAAATTTTAAATTAAAAATTTTACGAAATTATTGTCATTGTTAATAAATAATACGAGGGGAGGTCCAAAAGTTCGTGGAATGGAGGGGATGGAGTGGGGATAGGGGCGCTCGCTTAGTGTCATACTAATTGGGGACTCATAATTAGTATATAAATGGAGTTTCAGCCCTATTGCGTCATTCGTTTACGAACACTCGCCTGCTAAACACGTCAATCCGGAAGAAAACTGAAACTATGGAGAAAATTGAACACCGTGCTGTCATTAAATTCCTTACCAAGCAAGGAAAGAACGGCTCAGACCATTTTGACTGAAATGGAAACTGTTTACGGGGGACAGTGCCCTAGTAAATCAATGATTTACAAATGGCATGGTCTTTTTAAACATGGTCGGGAGTCGATTGAAGACGACCCCCGCTCAGGAAGGCCAGTTGAGGCCACCACATCAGACATCGTCGAAAAAGTGGAAAAAATTGTACTGGAGGACACCCGTTTGAAGAAAAAACAGTTATCTGCATTAGTTGGAGTATCAGATACCACAATTTTGCGAATCCTACATGACCACCTGGGTATGACAAAAGTCAGTGCAAGATGGGTACCGAGAATGCTCACGCCGCTTCAAAAACAGCAGCGCGTCGAAGCGTCAAAACATTTTTTGGAGTTGTGTAGCGACGATCCTGGATCGATTTTGGAGCGAATTGTTACCGGCGATGAAACATGGGTTCATCACTTCGAGCCTGAGTCCAAACAAGAGTCCATGCAATGGCATAAAAAGGGGACACCACCGCCAAAGAAATTCAAAGTGTCGGAGTCGGCTGGAAAGTTGATGGCTACTGTTTTTTGGGATTGTGAGGGGATAATACTGATTGATTATAAAGAAAAGGGCAGGACCATAACCGGAGAATCTCAATCTCAAAATCTTGAACTGAAACTTCGTCATCGAAACACGCAAGCTAAACTATGTCTTCTGACAAATTACAAATGATTTAAAATCTTTTTCAGCGCAACAGTAGATATAATTTGTTGAAGCTTTCAAAAGCTTTAAGGTCTATTAATAATTGTAAGTCGTTTCTTGGTGCTGACTGACTCGAAGACAACTTGATCAATATTTGACATAAATAATCACCGTGAAAAAACGTCATATTTCTCTCACAGCCTTTTCGTCCTTCTTCGTTAGCTTAAACTGATGCTTAAATAAATACATTTTTAAACTGTACAAGGATCTTGCTATCCACCTAGCTCGATGAAGACCAGCAGGTCTCCGAAATGAAACGTTTTTGTCAGGAACACCTCCTAAGGAAATGATAGTAAGATTCAACAGTTCTCTGTAGTCATCTCGAGGTTCATATACTTGAAGTTTAGCTTTTATGCAAACGAAATCCTGTCTGCGGCCACTTCTGCAAGAATATTTGCCTCAGTGTCATCAGCTGTTATTGATTTGAAGTCGCTTTGGTCAGTAGTGTTCCAATTGTTCTTAAAACTTTTGAATAATTGTACATCAGAAGCACTAGATGGGGAAAGCGATTGATCCACTACGGCTGACAACATAATTTCCATTATGTGGTGATGACAAGCAAGCTAAAGCTTATTTTTATTCAATTTGCATTCCAGAAGGACGAATACTCCACTCCTTAAGCCGGTATTTACAGCAGTAGTGTCAAAACATTGTCAAACATTTTACTTTAAAGCTCAAATTCCATGACTTTATAGCTTCGTAGACAGCTGACGCACAAGCTTCGCTTGTTCCACGTTCCAATTTTGGAACAGCCAGTAGTTGATAAACTCCATATCTTGATGTCAAAATTGGCAGCCGATCTTTAGTTTTGTGTCCCAGTATCTTCTATAAGTTTACCGTCCCAATGGATTGTTAATGACGAATTAGGTTTAAACTCGCTTTTGAGCGACTTTGCAACAGCTTTGCGATTTTTGACGCATAGTAGATCTATTGACATTACATTCTGATGGACCACAGCCTGCACTTTGCAAAGTAGATGTCACGATCATAGTTGCTTGTCTGTCACTCAATTTAGAGACATCAAGACTGGTATCTAATTTACTGTTAATAATAATGTAAAAAATATTTTATTTGTAAAAAATTTCGTTGGGTTTTGAATACCGTCGCACTTTTTTATGATACTAAGTATTTAGGAGTCTCGGGGGACCTTCATTGGAACACCTCCAAGTGATTTTTGCTGCAGGAAACGCGTCTAAGTATTTTTAATAAAAATTTAAAGTTTTGTGAAATGTATTGAAATTTGTAAACTATCCGCCATTTTCTACTTTTCTATTGGTTATTAGAGATGTGACGTTCACTTTAAAAAATCGTGTTTTTAATTTATCGATTGTTAATAATCGTTTTTTAAGTAACGGATTTCTAACGGACTGAACTAACTAACGAACTGTAAGACTGTTCACACACTGTTCTAGCAAAATCCACATTCGAAATGGCCGTTTGCGTTTATAAAATTAATAGGGATGTGAAAAATAATCGATTTCTTTAAAAGTGAAAATCGATTTTTGTATTCGATTTTAATATTAAAAATAATTGAAAATTAATTAAAAAGTAGAAAATGGCGGATTGTTTACAAATTTCAATACATTGCACAAAACTTTAATTTTTTTTTTTAAATACTTAGACGCGTTTCCTGCAGCAAAAATCACTTGGAGGTGTTCCAATGAAGGTCCCCCGAGACTCCTAAATAGTTAGTATCATAAAAAAAGTGCGACGGTATTCAAAACTGTTACCAAAAAATTTGACAGCTGGTAGCGACCTCTAAATCTTAACAAAAACAAAAACAAAAAGGAGAAATAATCGTCAGTCCATCGATATTGACATCGTCACTAGTGGGTTAAGTGGGCGTCGTGTGCGTAAAGTGCGAGCACAATAGATACGAATAATTAACGTTCAGTATTTAATTTAGATTTCCTTTTAACACTACAAATGACACTTAAATTACAACTAGGCACCGTTCTCAATTTTAATCACAATCTATTAGACCCAATCTCTACACCACAATACTCCACTGAATTCTCTATCAGAACTATGGCGTTCCCTATACGCACTGTCCAAAGTCAAGATGGCGCCACGTCCCCACTCAAGGTATTTGCTCTGCTCTGTTAAGAAATGAGTACCAAACTGATTTTTTTTAAAAATAATAACAAACAAAATCAAATTAAATTACGATTCTGAAAAGTAATAGAAGAAATCTCAATCAAACCAAAGCAACAATAAAAATCAACGGATAATTCACTCGATCATAAGATATCCTGATAACCCTAGTATTCCCAGATATATACTAGTAGACTAGAATTATCATTTATTGTGTATATGAAATCCTTTATACGTTTAAATTTTGTTAGCGAAAACAAAAGACTGCTGATATCTCTAATCCCTAATGTTATGAAGCCATGTTTTTTTTCTTCTAACACGCTGTTCTCGATTTAAAATTTATATAAAGGAAACTAATTATGTTATCGCCTAGGTATCAAAAAAGCTGTTCTTTTATCTGAAATCGTTTTAAACTGGCTTAAATACTTTTTATCATATGTTTTGAATGTATTCCAGAATGTGGAGTCCCTCGTGAGCATTTGAAAAACTTGCCCAGGGATCTCTTACAACTGATTACACCGGACTATTGTGGCCTGTGTGCGGTGGCGTGTGATACATTTGCTTTGGGTAAGTTCATTTACTACTTAGGGGCCTTCAAGTATTACGTAACCAGATTTGCTGCAATTTATATCCCCCCCGTCTTGTCATCAAAAGTAAAGCTTTGCTCTAAAAAATAATAGTACATAAATGTAATATTTATAAACACTGTGTGGGTAATCTGTGTAAAAAAGTAAATAATTGAAAAATGGTCTCAATATCTCCCCCGGATTCCATTTAGTCGAACACCACCCATCGAGGTATCAACACTTTCGAGGGTTGTATGGTTGATCTGAATATATAGAGACCCGTGGACTATCTACCAATGAAAACTCACAGATTCGAGACCAAAATCAGTTTTGCGCTGCTGGGGGGCGCCGGGGGTAAAATGAAGCCAAAATTTCATCTCCCCTATCCATTGCACACCTCTCTCCCCAAAATATAAAAAATCCATCCGTGGCACGATCTTAGTCTCCTAGATTCCTGGGTGAACCTAGATAAGTTCCGATCAATTAATGAGTGAGTGAGTGTGTGGTAATGTAAGATGTCATGTGGAACATGGTTTAATGGTTGCAGCTCCTTACAAACGTTGTGTAAAAAAAAACATGGCGATTAAAAAGAGTGGCGGAGAGTTTATTGCCAGTTCTTCCCTTCCGTTCTACGCCCTTGATTTGAGAACTGGCACTCATAAGTGTACAATGTGTTACCCATATGATTAAATGATTTTTGATTTTTTTTGTAGCTTTATATATATAGGAGAGACTGACTGACTGACTAGGTCTTCTCGCGAACCATGAAAATTGGATTAAACTGGTTTTTTTTTCTCTTTAATCGGCTACTCATTTCTGAGCGTCGTGAGCGTTGCTTCATAAAAACCTTCTTAAAGTTCAAGGAGTAATAATAACTGGACCGCCGTCTTCGAGTTTGGAGCTTAGCAAAATATTCTGCGATTATTTATATAAAAAAATACATATAAAAAATAATATATATTATATATAAAAAAAAATAACATATAATATGATAAAAAATCCTATACAGGAATTGTATTATTATTTAATTTTCAGCTCGCGTGCACTACAACTCTAAAAACCATCTGAGAAATCAAAAGAAATGGCAGTTGAATCGTGGCCATGGAGGTCAGGGTATGGTAAGTTTCTATTGGAGTCGAAAAAATTGTCTCCGGACTAATTTAACTTCAACATAATTCGCCAAAATGTACTTCCCAGCTTTGACTATAGTTTCCAAAATAAACGTGTCCAGGAAGAAGCTTAAAGTAGGATTCTTCAAGAAAACAGCGTACCAATTCTCTCGCGAGCCCTCTGGCAATGTGTATCTCCGTCCATGGGCGGCGGTATCCCTTCAGGGAGCGTCACGGAAATTTTGGAGATTATTGAAACCCCCCACGTAACGCGCCGTAACGTTTTTCTGTACCCAATAGTAAAACGTTTCGTGATCACCCAGTGACTCTTTATACCTAACAGTTACCATTATGTGGTGTAAAGTACTGGAAAGTCGAAAATAATTAACAATAACGCGTAATTCAATCCCCGCCCCGCATCGTAACGTTTTACAAAAGGACCCCCCCTCCCAAAATTCGTTACGTACTTGAACGCTCCCTAACATCAAGTAAACCGTTATTTAAAATAAATTGTGCGTGTACTAGGTGTACACACGTAAGAAGTTTCACTTCTTTATGATCTTATTTTTCGAAAAATGATCTACTATATGCAACTTTACAGAAATTCGTTAAATTAGATAAAGTTTAACAAAAGGCTTTTATTATCATAGACATGAATACAAATATTTCATTTTACCTTATTACTACGAAGATTATTATAGAATTTCATTAATTGTAATATAATTATTACTATCATTGAAAAACGTGACGATTTGCTACAAAATTTCTCCCATACGTCGATAAAGAAGTTTCATTCCAACGCCGATAAAGAAGTTTGACTTCAAAAAGCAACATGGCGCGTAACCGAAAAATGTGACGCGTAACGAAAAAATGTTACACTAAATTTTTTTCCAACCTCGATAAAGAAGTTTCACTTCAAAAAAAGTTAAAACCTGTTAAAGTAGCACCCTTAGCTAAGGTCTTAAATATATAACGTTCCTAATTATGAACAATTAACAAATAATGGATCATTAATCATGTTGACTTGGTCGTGGTTGACATCTTGGAGATTCTCTTGAGAAATATGCGCCAGTCATTACAGCTGCCTTGCGCATTTATAGGTCGGTCCACCTCATAGGCTTACCACAAGCTCTTGTAAAGTAAAAAATCATTTAATCATATAGGCATTGATCGAAATTGTGTTTATATATTATCGTTCGTAATATTATTTATTGTTGAAAAATTTGTAAGGCTTTCGTTTTGTGGTAGATTTTGGAAATAATCAAAGTTATTTCAAACTGCTAAAAACTAAATATAAGTATGGATGAAGGTATAAATAATTACTTTTTTTTATATTCCACATTTAAAATATGAGTACAATTTCATTTTGAAATTCGGATCTGTAAACAAATTTATTTTACAGGATTATACATTTTTAAAACATTGCAATGGTTTCATTGAATCTTTCAATGCAGGCACTTTCGACATAGCGCACTCTGCTGATGCATTTGAAAACTAATTCACGTTCCAAGCTTCAGCATAATGCGGCATTGTGTGGCACTGAGTCGCATTATGCTCTGTAATTGGAAAACTACCATAAATACAAAAAAATTATCAAAATTCCGATTTTCGAGCAATTGTATTTTTTTTCAGGGCCCACTCAAATCTCGGGACCTGTACTGCGAGTTGTGTGATGTGGAAATCACGTCGAAGGTCCATTCCCAATCCCACTACTCGGGAAAATCCCACAGGGCGTAAGTTTTTTTATGGGAATACTTTGAGTGAAAATGGCCTATTAGACAATATGAAAACTAAAAGTACTATTCTCCGATTTTTCATTCCGTAGAATTGTGACATTTCATAAGTGTTGATACTAAAAAAGTTCTCCACCGAAAAAGGGACAAATTTGGCCAATTTGAGGGCAATAAAAAATTAAATGCTACGTATTTTTGTTTTACCTATAAAAAAGTAAATCTAAATAGTGACCTAATACAAAAATAACAAATATTTCAATATCACGATTAATATATCGAAATAACTTTAATTACTTTATTTTATTCTTTAGCTGGCATCACTGCTAATTCCAGGTTTAGTCAACCTTTAAAAAAAAAATCTTATCTTTACTTGTGCGTTTTTTACTGTTTGTGATGAAAAGGGACATAATTATCACTCGCCGTTAAACCACTTTTAATGTGGAGCACCGCACTTAATAAAATGGATACATTAACTAACAACATAATGTATGTATAGACTGAGATGTTCAGATTCGTATTGAAATTGAAAAATGTGCCCGGCCAAAAAGGTTTGCCATCTCTGATCTGTCAGTATTCTACGGAGGTAAAAGTCAGAGTGTAGGTAAGATTTTTATCACACAGATATTAATATAATAATATTTTGAAGATATTTTATTTTTCAGAATCGTCGAAGGACGCCGTAATCCAAAAAATCCAATTTTGGTTCAGCCTGGTATGGAAGACCGCATGTAAGTATTAAAGATAAAGTTTGTGATGTAGGGGATCTGGGTCTACTGAATTTTGAAAATTCCTTTATCAATAGAAAGCCACTATATTAGTGAGTGTCATAGACTATATTCGAAAAATTAACAGACTTTTGTCATAGAGAAAAAACTATCGAACAAAAACGTTGATGTGAACTTTTTTTTTTTATGATTGGACAATTCACACCAATTGACCTAGTCCCATGCTAAGCTGATGAAGCTTGTGTTATGGGTACTAGGCAACGGATATACATATATAAGATAGATAGACATATAAATACATATTTAAACACCCAAGTCCTAAGCACAACACCAAATGCTTTTTACATCGATGTTTGTCTCAGCCGGGGATCGAACCCGGGACCCATGGATCCGCAGTCAGGGGTACTAACCACTAGACCAAGAATCCATGTGTGAACTCAAATTTGACATTTTAATACGTTGTGAGATATATCATGTATTTTTAGTAATCTAAAAGCCAATATGTAAAACTCATAATGTTACAGAATAGAGGACAAAGCTTAAGTTGACACTTATGGATTTTTGACAGTTGACAGCTAAATTTGAGAGTTATTTTACTTTGGTTTGTGTGACTTTAGCTAGCAAACAATAATTTATTAGAAAAGCAATTACTTAATAGGACAATAAAATTACAAGTGACATTAGAAGAAGAATTTGAATAGACGTTTGACATTGCTACGAAATTGAATTTCAGAAAGCAACTCGTGCGTCGCGAGAAAAGGTTTCTGGTGACTGAACAGGTTGATACTGCTGAAGCGGCGTTATCTGATTTTATCGATATAAAGGACAGGATCCCAGCGGAATTGCATTGCGACATTTGCAAGGTAAAAATATATAAAATAGCCGAGAGGGTTATTCCTTGTTTCAGGTTTTCCTTCACCGTATGAGTCATTTTATTTATTAATAAAACATGACAGTATTCTAGTGTCAGTTACATCTGTTGTCAAACATATGTCACAGAAATGGCGTGGCTGTCAGCTGCCATTATGTCACAGAGTATACATTAACGTCAAAGTCAAATCAGTTTATTATTAAAAAAATCCATCACGTGACTAAGCGTCAGCTACTGTCGTTCCCATACAAATTTCTTTAGCGTTAGTGGGTCACGGCTGTCAAAGAGTGAGCTTTTTCAAAGCCCCTTGTGCATTTGAATCACGGCGTGCACCAATGTACTGTGTACGAGACTTGAACAAAAATTTATTAGATTTTGACATACGGCAGTCGTATCGTGTCTAAGTCTCATGTATTTCGTAATCCTACAGCTAACAAGAAAACTTTTCTTTTATTACTTTCCTTTTTTTTATAGAACAGGGGGCAAACGGGCAGCTCACCTGATATTAAGTTATACCGCCGCCCATGGACACTCTCAATGCGAGAGGGCTCGCCAGTGCGTTGCCTACCTTTTAAGAATTGGTACGCTCTTTTTTTGAAGGACCCTTCAAAAAAAGAGCCCTTCCTTTGCTTATTTCATGTGTTTTAGTAACTATAAACTTCTTAACAATAATTTACAAGGCTTTTAAGTACAACACGCTGAGATTTTCTTGATATAAAAAAAATATAAAGTAGAGCAACTTTCGTGACGACTCTGGATTTGACAACATAGGGTGTGCTCGTGTGCATCGAACCGCTGACGGTTTGCAACTGACGCTCGGAGCGAACTCCCCGCACCCCGAGATTACCTCTACCAAAAATTGGTGGGGCGCGTCTTCGTGAATTGCACTATCAGCCAATTTTTAGGTTAATTTTACAGAGTGAGTGAGTGACTGCTGATTCAGTATAATAAAACTTGCAGACGTTCGTGACTTGTACGGAGCAGATGACCCTGCACTTGAACGGCAAGAAGCATCTTAACAAGGAGAAGCAGCACATCTTGAAAATGATGAAGGGGGAGGCCAGTGATAACGGTGTGTGCCAAATCTTTAGTATTTAATAATGATATTTTTAATTTGTATCGTGTTTTACTGACATATTTCAGTTTTTTTTTTATAATTTTGGTCTTCAAAGTTTTCAGTTCGCGAAAAAAAAATGCGTATGGACAGAGAATATCTAATGAGCCATTTTTGTTTTATAAAATAGTTCTATTATAGATTTAAAGCCCATTATAAAACATCAATCAAACTTAAATCTAGTTGTATAACCATTTTCTTTTTCCATTTTCATTTTTTACTATAGGTATGATAAGAATGTATGTATGGGACCATAAAGGCTTTTCTAAAGGGGCATAGTTTTTTTTATTATTATTTATGGCCCGTACGGTTTGTGTATTGTGGCACAGGGTCAAAAACATAAAATGATCGGCTGGAACGGAATTTAGGAATGGAAAATAATTAATCTATAAAATAAAAGATCAATTCTTATAAATCTACATAAAAAGGAGTGTAAGAAAACATATTTACATATATTTACGTTCATATTGTCTAAATTTTTATATTATTACTTAAGATAAAAGCTGCGAAAAGTTTATATACATACTAGTGGACCCCACAGACGTTGTCCTGCATGATATTTAAAGCGATTAGGATATTAAGCAAAGTATGAAAGTACCGACTGCAGTGCCATCTGCCGGGCTGATTTGTGAATCTAAACCATTCCCAGATCCCCTTGAACACACACAAAAAATTTCATCAAAATCGGTCCAGTCGTTTGAGAGAAGTTCAGTGACATACACACTCACAGAAGAATTATATATATAAAGATGGGTTGTAAAGTTGAAAGTAAACTTGATCCATATCACTTCATCCATATGAAGGGAACGGAATTTGAAGGGAAATGAGACCTTCGAGAAGAGCCGACCGGTCGCGTCGAGGACAAACAAATATGATGTGATTTAAATCACCTACATCATATCCGCAATCGCACGTAGGGCTGTCATTAATATTTAACTTAGTAAGATGAGCTGGGGTGCAGACGTGTCCCAGTCGCATACGAGACAGTACTGTTGTAACTTTTTTACCGAATCTCAGTCGCCCGGGCATAGATTATACAATGCATGATAATAGAACACAGATTAACTAAACTTTTTATTATCCGTTGAGCTGTCCAAAGGTTTACGATTTGTCAGTGTAAACATACTGTTTAGGTATTCCTTTTAATATTTTTTACCTTTTTCCTATTTTAGAGCAAGTGGCTCGTCTTATATACCGCCCATGAATATTTGGTTCAGAAGGTTCGCAAATGCGTTGCCGACCTTTAAAATTATGGTTTTAATTATTATGGCTTATGGTTCTCCTGTTTATAAAGACTGTATGTTATTATATATATTAAACAACGTCATAAGAAAATAATGCGAACGCAATAATTTGCAGATGCAGCGGCCAAGTCCACCGCCAATAATGATGGTGAGTTTTTTTTTTATTACATATATACAATTTGTTGGAGATTATGATTAAATACACAGTATGTTTCGGAACTAGACTCTGGTTAAATTAGTCCAAGTTTCCAGTTCAAAGTTGGTGGGATTATTGATTACGCCGCTTCAAATGAAATCAAATTTTTTTGTAGTCAAAGGTCACAAAACGGAGACATCTCATATAAAATTCTCGTGTCACAATTTTCGTTCCCATACTCCTCCGAAACGGTTCGACCGATTCATATGACATTTTTTATGCATATTCAGTAAGTCTGAAAATCGGCTACTATCTATCTTTCAAACCCCTAAGTGATAAGGGGTGATTTTTTATGATACAGCATACAAAAATACATAGAACCCTTAATTTTCACCCCTCTACGATCAACCCCTATTTTTTTAATGAACTAAAACTATGTTTCCCAGCAATATTATACATGGCAAAATAACGTTTGCCGGGACAGCTAGTTTAATACATATTTATCAACGATAATTTTCGACAAAAATCATTTTTAGTAAAACAAATTATGTATTGTACAGAAAATTTCATTTTTTGAAAAAAATATTTTCCCCAATACTAATATTTTGACAAAACTTACCGTTTTTGTGCCCTTTGAACATGAGTAAATTTTAGATTTATAATCATGTGAATAATCTTACCAACTTTGAGCTGGGTGCGAGGGTACAAAACCCTCCGATGTCCAAATTTACCGGTTCTGAAATGAAACAATATCAAGGTAGAATGAGACTCATTCAATAAATCATTTGAGATCTGGTCCGAGTTCTGGTCTATTCCAAGGTATTAGCGTTACGGATATTGAGAAACCACCGAACTTGCATACAACAATTTCGAGTAGATTTACAGAGTACGAGCGCTGGTAATTAATATGTAGAATCACTCATTGACTTTTGTCTTCGCCGTTGTATTATAAATTTAGAATATTATATTAATAAGTTTAAAGTAAGAACAAAACGTGCTTTGCCTTGACAATGCTTGTATCTAAAATTGGAGTATTTTTAGTTTTCATTGCTTGTATCATTCGTAATCTTGTCTGTGTGTAAATTAAGCCGTTGTATTTGCTATGTTTTCATTATATCTGCTTCCTCGTTCATAAAAGCATGGTGTTTTTTGTTGTACATATTATATTAATAAAAAGAAATTCCAGTTAGATTGGTAGATTAATATCTAGTATCGCTTTGACATATTCTACGTCATGTCACCACCTGGAAATGCAATTCGAGGCAACACAAGTGCAATCGTAAACAGCTGAAGCTCATGAGGTCAATGACATGAGGTGAATGACCCCAAGTATGCTTCTTTGATCTGACCTCATTGTTAACGGAGTTTAAACAAAAACATTTCATTACCATTTAGATTATTAAAAGCAACGTAAATAAAATAGTAAATAGCTGAAAGTCGTGAGATCATAACCTTTTGTGGTGAATAACCCCATGTATGCGTCTTTGAACTGAGCATGAGATTCTTAATTCATTGCTATCGGAGTTTAAACAAAACCATTAGAGATTATTTAAAGCAACCTAAATTAAATCGTAAATAGCTGAAGGCATGAGGTTAATGACCTGAGGTGAATGACCCCCGAGTGCGCTTTTTGATCTAAGCTAATTGTTAACGTCGTTTAAATAAAAATGTTTTATTAAAACCTCTTTTTAATCGCCAAAACATGGCGATGTGGCGGAGAGTTTATTGCCAGTTCTTCTCTTCCGTTCTACGGCCTTGATTTGAGAACTGGCACTAAATGTAAAATTAGAAGCATTAAGGTCGATTCACACATATCAGTGAACCCACAGTTCCGGCACAGTACCGTTACAGTTCCGTATCCGTGCTACAGTGGTTCGTCAGTCATTCAATTCACACATGTCAGTACTCAGTTTACGGAGCTTCAGTGAAAACGTGTCCGTCGCGTTGTCAAGTAACGTGATTATGGCTCTGTTCAATACTACGGAGCTAGCAATGATAGCTGTTGCTTTAGACGAAGAAGAAGAGCAGCATCAAGGACAAAAAAGAAAATGGGTACATGAAGCATGGCAATTAAGAGAGACGGAAGGAGAATTCATCATATTATACAAAGAATTAGTTAAAGAAAATATTTTAAAATGTCAGCGAGCTGCTTCAATATTCTTCTGCAATAAATAAAATGTAACAAATAATAACGCGGCGTCAGTGATCCGTGATAAAATATCGTTGTCGCCGATCACGTCCGTGATGACCGGTGCCGGCACTGACACTGACGGTACTGAGACGACACTGACACTGACAAGTGTGAATACATCCATAGAGAATGTTTGAAAGAATAATTATCACTGATGCGGTACTGTGCCGGAACTGTGGGTTCACTGATATGTGTGAATCGACCTTTAATATGTATTTCTTTACTGACAAGTCATAAGTGTACAATGTTTTACCTATATGATTAAATGATTTTTGAATTGAATTTAGATTATTCGTATTTATTAATACTACATACACTATGTATATATAAATACTATTATTTATAGAAGTTTTTTTCGTGATGTATGATGATTAAGCGTCAAGGGTTTGTTCGGTAGATGATTTGCTGCGAACCCTCGACCACGTACTTGAAAAACTACCGCCAATAGAGGACGAGGATCTGAGAAAAGGTACTCAAATTTTGTACAAACAGATTACCGCAAATTGCTAATGCGCTACCGTATATACAGCCAAAAAGATTTGGTTTAGAAGATCTTATTTTAATAATTTGCAGTCATTTTAATACCGGTTTGTTATTTTGAGTTTAACTTTTATGAAATGTCATCTTTGATTTGACATCTTGTCATCTTTGAAAAAAAAAAAAAAATTACTGAACGTAGATATTCAAATTCGATCTGTCATCTATAATTTTTATCTATAGCTTCTTAACCAATCTACAGAACCACAATGTCAAATGCAAACGTATTAGCAATTTGCGATGCTTGTAGCATGTTTGTTGCGTTTGTATGTTTGAAGTGTAGATAGTGAATATAAGTTATTAATTTAAGTAGCGTAAAGAAGGGAGGTGATTATTCTTCTCCACTTCCACTTCACACCAATAGGGACTTTAAACATTTCAGATTATTTATTTGTGACTATGCACCCATAGAAGTGAAGCATTTGGTTTCGAGATACTGAGACCAATGAAATTTTAATTATTAAGTTTAATATCAATTATTAATTTTGATAAAAACTACAATGGTTAAAAAAGTTTTTAAAATTAATAATTTGTAAATTAGACTTTTGGTCACTATTTAAATGTAGTATCTTTACATTAATTTATTATTTTAATTTAAATTTTTAAGTTTAATATCAAACTTTAATTTTAATAAAAACTAAAATAATTAAACTTTGAAAGTCGAAAAGTTTTATAAAAAATTCATCAAATTTTATAAGTGAATTAAATTTAATTCACTTATAAATATATAAAATAATTCACTTATATATATAATAAAAGAGATTAATTAATCTCTTTTTTAATTTTTTGCACATATTTTTTTTAATTCAGAAAATGATGAAATACACACAAATAAGTTTATACACTGTATAATGCTCCTATCTCATTTTCTTCCAGTTCAAGTTTTTCTTTTTTGCAGTCGCTGAATCACAACGATGCTAAAAAAGTTTTTACTTCAAAAACCTCCTTAATGTTTTTAGGCAAAATGTCTTCGCACCAGTCCTTATCACGTGCATGTAAATACGTAAAAACCGTTTTTTTTTTAATTTACACAAATATGCCTATTATAATTCGATCAAAAACAGTCTCTAACGAAATTGAACTCCAATACAGTATTAAGATTGACAAGCAAAGACTATTTACAATTGTAGATTCTACAATTACGACTAATCTGTGACCGTTTTCTGTTACGTGATAAACGTATTATAGATATTTGATAAATTAATTATTCAAATTATTTAATTTCGAATTCCAAATTTTCCTGAGACATTTATCATATATCTTAATATAAAAACAAAGTCGAATTTGTTTGAACACTTATAACTCGAGAACGGCAGAACCTTTTGCATTTGCCTCCGTCCGAAACAAAAACAAAATGTTTGTAAGTTTCGTAACTGTCATGTTAGTACGAAGTTCGCAGGGTTCGCAGTAAATGATAAATCCTTTATTTGACTTGAGCAGTGTGGGCTTCATTGTGCGACTCTCATACCTAAGCTCGCAGCTTCAATCCCTGGAGTTTCTGTCTATGAGCACATTAAAACTCGCTCGTACAAAGGAAAACATCGTAAGGAAACCGACTTTCCTTAGACCCAAAAAGTTGATGGCGTGTGTCAGGCACAGGAGGCTGATATCCTTGCCTATTAGAAATGATCGTGAAACAGATTAAAAAAGGTTGTAGCATCATAGATTTTTTATTTAAAATTATTTTGGAAAATAGCGCCATCTATGTTAGCTGACGACCCGACATGTATCAATTGAAATTTGAAAACTAGATTTTTGCATTCAGCTTGAGCCCTATATATATCCATCAACTAAGACCCATATCTCAAAATTAATTTTTGACTTACGGGAGTTTGACTTAGCGTTAAGTCTGTATTCCGTACGTCAATGTCAAGTCTAGTTTCCGAGACTCATCCTTAGACTATAGCAAGAATTATAGTACAGGCTTGTTAAATTAATTTTATAAAGCGTAATTTATTTAAGGAATTTTTAGACACATTAACAATAACAAGTAGTTATTTCTATAATTAAATAATAAAAATAATTACTAATATTAAAAAAGACCTAATCAGCGAATTAAATACAATCGTTTTTAACACAGATGAGGCAGTTGAAGGGGAAGACGGAGCTGCTGAAGATTGGGAGAAGAGTGGTGAAAAATGGGACGAACCAGAAACACTATGGTCTTAGGTAGTGTGTATTACTTACATGTATGATGTTATACAAGTTATATATATAATACGTATTTATTATATAAAGTAAGGTATGTCGTAGCAATGACGTTACTGTCAGCTGCCATTGTCATTATGTCACGGAGTTCATGAACGACGACTATGACTATCAAATAGTCGTTAATTTGTAGATTCACAATTGGAAAATCGAATAAACCAAAAGTATTAACGGGTTTAAATTGATTTGACTTTGACGTTGTTAATTTATGAGCTCTAAGATATATAATGACAATGTCAGCTGACAGTCTGACAGCTGACACCAGCGCGTTTGCTCAAATATAAATTTAAAATTGTATTAGTTATAATATGTTCAGCATTTTGACAGTGAGAAAGAAGAGTGCCTAAAAGTTGGACTTGAAGCTTTGTTTAATATAAAGAAACCATAAAGATGTCTGGGCTATAAAAATAATTTATGGTTTGTTTATTGTAAAATATGTTTACTTAAGAGGCAGACACCACAGACTTCCAAGTGCTTCCTTCATACCTGTCTCAGTTCCTTACATTCATAACATTAAAAATAGGTTTCCAAGTCTGATTATTTTTTATAATTGAGGCGGGTTTTTAGTGTGATATACGTAATTATTATGACCATAATTTAAAAAAGTTATTGAGTATTTAATAGCTTAAATAAGTATTATTTTAGGGTTTCTTGTCATTTAACATTTTTAAAGTGATCGCTTGTATGGCCAACGTCAACATTATACAGCTCTTAGTGCCTTGGAGTGGTGATAAAATGTTCACACCAGATAGAGACAAATAAAAAAAAAAATAGTATCCCACAATTTTTATTGAAATTTGCTTGCAGGTGCGAACATGGTCGTCACGACGTCGTTGTTTCTGAAAATTGAGAATATTGTTTTAAAAATAAATGTACGTGTGTAATTCGTGTTTTATTTATTAGAATTAAACATATAAACTACAATAAATTACAAGGTGGCTAATGCATTAGACTAATGTGTCTACCACATTCCCTATGGTTACGGGATGTTATGGTTCTTATTAAAGAATTACGGCAAGAAAATTCAATTAGAAATAAATGTGATTGTTTTGTTGGTAAGTTTTCGTATGTTGTACATCACCAATAAGCTAGTCCACATATTAATAATATATTATGTTATGAATAATCGAACTTTCTAGTATATTTTTAGTTGATAATGAAATGTAATTATGCATAGATTAAATAAATGAATAATATAACGCGCGTTTCGTTTAGTAGTTCAAAATTAGCGAAACCATAGACAATAGTATCAAACTCAAACTCAAAATATCTTTATTCAAGTAGGTAACCAAGTACACTTTTGAATCGTCAAGTTAAATTAATCGTAAATTTACATTTACTACCAGTTCGCAAGTCAAGGGCGTAGAGCGGGTATCACTCTTTACAATCCCTACAAATTTATTTGGACAGAACATAATAGGTTTGATAGAAGCACGACCGGAAATCGGATGCAGATTAATTACAAAAATCAGTAGCGCTACAACTTTTGGCCTTAGCCTCGGATTTCTATATCAGTTTCGTGGTGATTATTTTTTTATAATAGACAGCGTTCAGCTTTCTGGGCCCGAACAGACGCCGTCGACTTTTTGGGTCTAAGGCATGCCGGTTTCCTAACGATGTTTTCCTTCACCGGTATCTATACTATAATTTTGGCGCCAAGTATTGTTTATGACATCTAGAGTACGACTACTTAAAAAACCAAAGCACGTTGTCATTTAAGTTTATATGCATTTGTATATTAAGTGTTTGGTACCTTTTGGAATTTATAGGCAATAATAAATACGCCAAAATACATGAACAGGTAATTTCATTATTATTCTTTAAGATGTCTAGGTGCAACTAAAACAAATTTTAAACGTTTTTAATATAGTTTTTACGGACGCATTGACAGTGTGACTCCACATTTTTATGCGATATTTTTACACTATTTACATAACTCGACGTTTCGTTTGAAGTGCTTTACAACTGTCTAAGCACTACTGCTGTAAATGTTGGCGAGCAAAATATATTTTGATTTTCTCGTGTGGCAGACTTTCTTAATAGCGATAATTATACAATAAGGAATATTAAGGACCACGTCGGCGTTGTCAATTGACACCCCTTTAAAAATGTAAAAAACAGGTATACTATGTCATTTGCGCGTGTCTGCCTTTTAGGCAGATGTTTAGAAACCGTGTCAAAATGAAAAAACAAAAAAGCAGACATCTAGGACCCAAAAACTTCAAGTTATGAAATTTTAAAGATTTTTTTTATAATTCAAAATATATATGTGTTATATTTTTGTGTTCAAGGGGTTCTAATAAATCGAATGGACCCAAAAACAGCTAGATACCAGCAAATGATTTAGTAGAGCTTTTTTTTACATTTTTACATCTACCTCCTGTGATAATTCAGAGGCCTCGATGCCTGCCTTATAGATTTTCTTCGTTATCTAAATGGTATGGACTACTAACCCCAGAGGCAGACCCGAGCAAATGAGTTAGTATCCACTTTTTTACAGATTTACACCCCTGTAGCTTAACGCAGCAAAGTATGACTTTAATGCATGAGGAAAATTTTGTCGTATTGGTCCGAACTTTAATTCCTTTCAATACGAATAACCAGCTCCCTAGTTTATAACTAGCACTCGAAACGTCCGTATGAAATTTAATAGCTTTATTGAAAAAAATTAAAGCAGTTAATATTGTTATGACTGAGAAATGTACTTTAATTTGTGGCTTACTAAAGTTTCTTTCGTTCACCAGAACATTAATTTAATTTATTAATATTAATCAATATTAAACATTAATGTAATTACCATGAACAATTAGAATTTCGCCTTCGGCGTCTTCTTCTGCCAAAGCAGCCATTCTTGAAACCAAGCCACAGAGCGAGAGTTAGTACAACCAGTAGCCCAGCTAAAATGATACCTTGGACTTTTGGGTCATAGAAATTTATAGGGTCCGATAATTTCTTCCCAGAACGGCTCCCTTTTTTTGCACTTGATGAGCTTTTTGCTAACGCCGTGGAAGATGTCTTTTCTACCGGGTGACCCATATTTAATTTGAAAACCATTTAGATAATTATGAAAATCTGGTCATTGCAAGGGCTGGTATGGATTAAGTTTATTTTAAACGGTATAAGGTTTTTAACGGATACATTTTGTGATTGAAATACAAAAGTCAAAAGATATGTGACAGAATATTTAATCATATAGACAATGGCGAATGAAGTATGGCGCTGTGGCAAAATAAGTTTATAGTACCACTGATTACTGTGATATATTGTGAATTGGTACAATATTAAAGTTCCTACTCCATTAATATCTGCATATTATAGGTAATTTGTAATTTTGTGTTACCAAAATTATGACCTAAACAAACAAATTTAATTTGAGTGTTTAAATAGGGAAATAAAAATTTCGATCATTACAAAATCCTAAAAGAAAATTATAGCAAAATTAGAAGTATTTATCCTAAACCAAGTGCGTGTCGTACCCTGTTTTCCAATTACAGAGCATAATGCGACTCAGTGGCGCACAATGCCGCATTATGCTGAAGCTTAATTGGAACGTAAATTAGTTTTCAAATGAGTCAACAGAGTGCGCTAAGTCAGTGTTGAAAAAAAAATGTTCTGAATAGAGTTAGCAACCTCATTAATGTATAAAAAATGTGGTAAACAATAATAACACGGGTCAACATGAAATTTGACTTTGATTGCAAAGCATTAAATTTCGGTAGTTTAGGTCGTAATAAGACGGAAAAAAAACATATGGCATGAAAAACTTTGCTTTTGCTATATTTCACGTCTCGAACTTTAATAAATTGACCACATATAAAACAAAATGCATCAGCATCGTATTTGCACTTTCGTGACGACATTTTAAGTTATTCTGGGGGTCTAGCCAAGATGGCTTAACAGTAGTGTATGTAGAAAGTCGAAAACTAAATTTGTATGAAAATGACAGCTCGTGTCGACAGTCGGTAGCCTAGGCCCTAAAGGCGTGAGTCGGGATACAATAAGCGACGCCATGACAGTGCTACGAAAAGACACACATTAACGCTTACGCTATTCGGTAGCCAACGGCCAATTAATGTTTCGGCAGTGTAGAAAAAACGGCGTTTCTCCGCCATGTTTTAGCGTGATCTCAAAAGCTGCTGTTTGCAATAATTCAGTACAACTATCGCCATCTTTAATGGCTACCGTTTTAAAAACATGTCATATATTGGACATTTTAACGAAATGGTTTTAATTTGTTATCTGTCTTTTTTTAACGTTCTCGTGTAATTATAATAATTTAAACTAGAGTCAATATTTTTAAGTTAAGAGTTTTAGTTTTTCTATGAATCAATGCGAGGATAACATAATAGACACAGATAAATATGAAAATATCAAGAAAATCAGCAAATTAGTAGAGGTAAATCCTAGTTATATTGGATATCTTTTATTTTTCTTTAATTTGAAAAATACATATACCATTTAATATTGCTTATATTATGTAATCACAAAGTAAAATGATTGTACATATTATTTGTATATTTCAGATGAGAAAGCAGTCACTAATGAACATTATTAGAAGTTCTAAATATATTTTATTGTAATTATAATAGAAGCTAATGATATAATATTGATTTAAATTAATCAAATAAAGTGGATTTTTACTTCATGAACTTTGGAAATATAAAATATAGTGAGCAATACTAAGTACTTAATGGTAAGCAGATATTTTCTTTAATTATTTACTAAGTTAATATACTAGAGAAGTTATTATAATATTGTTAATGAATGAGAAGTTTTAATTCAAGTCCTTTGGGAGTTACTGACATTGTTTGGTTATTAAAAACTTTAATTGATAATAAGCAGCAAAGTGACAAATTAAGTATATTTTTAAGTTTAGAATGAAGTAAAGACTTTTAATATTAAAGTTACCTATTGATCAAAGTACTAACTAAAATATTTTATTTTCAGAAAAAGACAACTAA